GCCCGGATTCTTTATCTGACATCCGAATAATGTGATCTAGGTGTCTACAGAAAGCTCATTACATGAACTAGCTAATGGCATAGGTTTTACTTTCAAAACAAGTCACACTAGGAAGTTAGACACCTAAACACATTTTAACCACTTTTCAACACTTTTACACAAAATGGGTGTCTAAAACCCTCAACAAGTGCAAAAAACTTTTTCTAACACTTGGACCATGTCTAATAGATTTAAGACTACTAGTACAACATGTCATAGACATCGAAACATCAATATAACAAAAATTCACTCCTCAACTCCATTTTACCAAAAACAAAAGGGGAGGTAATTTGTCATTCCCTCAAATCATTCAAAACATACTCAAATCTTCATTTCTACACTTGCACTAGTATTTTAGCCTTATAAACATATATATATATATATATATCAACATACACAAAGGCTAAGGGCCCAAAATATAATTCTATCATTTCCAATAATCAAAATAGTGCAAGTGTGGTGATATGCATCTTAGAATTAGCAAATCATATACCATTACACAATTAAATCTAAACTAGAGGCATACAGTAGGAATATGCTAATTCCCTGCCTCTTTAGTCTTCTCCCTCTTAACACCAGAGCTAGAGCCTGAAAAATGTTAAAGGAAAGGGGTGAGTCTAGCCACTCAGTAACCAAGGTTGAACCTACCCTATGTAGTTATATGTCAATTAAAAACCAAATACATGCACAAGGAAATCAAGTATGTAAAACATGCTAGCATAAATCATATCTTGTCGTTTATCATTAAATGACATCTTTAACTCTCATAACTAGGTGCATTGTCACCATATTCTCAGATATGTGACATGACCCATGCTCATGCGACTTGCCACCACTTAATATGTGTGACACGTCATATATTTACTTAGACAATGATCAACCAACCTTATATCCTTCTTATTTTCTCAAACCGAAACCGTGGGCTATAACACTGATTAGGGCTCCATTTCTGTGACTGGACTACCCAAGCTCACCAATCATGAGGTGTAACCCAGCGAAAGATCACAGGACTCACTCTCTGACTATGGCTTCCCCCATTCTCAAATCCCTGGGGTGTCTCATACCTTAGGCTATTCTCCTCATTGAACCGGTGGAGATAGCTAGATTCTAGTCCATCGACAAACTATGGAATAGTCTCTCGACAAACAGTGGGACAAGGCTATACCCCCATGTACTGGAGGGCAGCCAAAATATCATATGGATTTTTCTCTACTCCTAAATTCCTAGACGAACTTCCGCCACTGATCATGCCATAATCAATACTCACTTGTGTTTACTTTTTCACTTTCATTTATCCACTATTACAACAACCATGTTGGGCTCATGACCTTATGCTACCCAAATGTGTATTCTCATCATTTTCTCAAATTCATTCCATCACTAACACATAAATACCTCTACACATTATCATATTCATTTTTCAAAAGTATAAGCATTTTCATAGTAAAATCCTCTTGACTTTGCATTTTGTATTTTCAAGCCAAAAATAGCTTTTTCATGTACTCAATGAAACTAATATATAGTTTTTTTTTTACTTTATTAATCAATCCCATGCATGTAACATTCACAATTCACATCCAATAATCAATTAACCATCAATTAACATACAACTGCCCGAGATAGAATTTTCTCCCAGTTACCTCAAACCTTTGAGAGGTCAAAGGTCTACCCCTCAATTAACTAGCTTCCAAGCTTGAAATTCTAATCAAATAGGTGATCAAGAGCCAAAACTACAATCAATAAAGTTAAATTCCATCAACACAATAAACTCAATATTTGACCCCTCAATCTCTACTCCCAAATTGCCCAACATTCACTTTACAAGAGTTGGAGCCTATCCATTGAGGTTAATAATTACTTTTAGCCCCCAATAGCATTAATGAGCCATTAAATCTCCATTAATGGCATTACAAACTTCTAACCACCCATAATAAATGAGATTTTTTAGAGATTAATGGTGCCCAACAACTTAAGACACCAAAACTGATTATACCTAGTTTAGATACTCCAATCTACCCCCATTAACTCCATTTGAGTCAACAAATTCAGACCTGTAACCTATATGGATTGAAATTCTACTTCCACTATCAAACCCTAACCATAAACTCATAAATGTGGAAGAAATGGGGAGATTAATGAGTTGATACTTACCTTGGGTATTTATAGGCTTCAAAATACTCTCAAAATTGTTCCCAAGTAAACCCTGGTAGAGCATTGGCGCACCTATCTGTTTCTCCTCTTTTCTTTCTCTCTAATTCTGTCTCATTTTGTGTCTGATAAATTGCAAAAAATGGCCATATGCCGCGGCGGATGCACAATGTGCCTCGACGCATGGCATAGAGAGGTCCTTCCTTTGCTCAGAAATGTTTGTGCACTGCGGCGGACGATCTGCACTCCGCGACATGTGACACAGAACTTCAACTCTTCCTTTTCTTCTCCTTTCAATGCTCGGGTTGACCGCCTCGATATCGAACCCATAATTAGGGCTGAAATACCATCAATTATGATTATTAGACCTGTTTGACCACACACCACTTCAACTTACTTAATTACCCTAATTAGGTTTAATTAATTAGGAAATTAAAACTCAGGATGTTATAATATATGGACTTTCTATTGTTCATAAACTTAAGAAACTATTTCAAATGTTCAGCTTAATCACACAAACCATATGAAACATATAGACATTGTATTGTTAACAAATGGATATTTTTGTGTTATATACGGACTTTCTTTTGTTCATAAGCTTGAGAAACTTTTTCAACTGTTTAGCTTAATCACACAAATCATGTGAAATAGATGGACATTGTGTTGTTAATAAATTGACCTTATCATGTTATATACAAACTTTTTGTTGTTCATAAACCTGAGAAACTTTTTGTTAATCCTAGCCAACTGATAAATTGAACACACATGAACTTTCAGTTGAGAATATATGAATATTGTGTTGTGTATAATAAATATTATGTTGTACATTGTTTGCATAACTTATATATTGTATTAAGCCTAAACTAGACACACATGGACTTACAGTTAAGAATATATGAATATTGTGTTGTATATAGATTATAGTGAATATTGTGTTGTACATTATTTTCCTAAATTGTATATTTTATTAAGCCTAACCTACTGATCAACCAGACACGTATAGACTTTCAATTGAGAATATATGAACATTGTGTTGTGTATAATGAATATTGTATTGTATATGGTTTGCCTAACACATATTTTGTTATGCCTAGCCTGCTGATCAACTGGACACACGTGGACTTTCAGTTGATAATATATAAATATTGTGTTTGTGCATAGTGGATATTGTGTTGTACATTGTCTACCTAATATATATTTTGTTAAGCCTAGCCTATTGATCAACTGAACATGCATGAAGTTTCAGTTAAAAATATATGAACATTGTGTTGTTCATAGTCGACATTGTGCTGTTCATAGTGAACATTGTGTTATACATTGTCGCCTATTGATGTTGTGTTGTACGTTGTTTGCATAACTTGTACATTGTACTAAGCTTATTGATAAATTGGACACGCATGGACTTTCAGTTGATAATATATGAACAATGTGTTGTACATAATAAACATTGTGTTGTAAATTATCACATAGGTTGTGTTTTCAAATTATAAAGGCAAAATTATACTTTTGGTTTCAAGAAAAATTGCAACAAGGGCCCTTGTGCTTGCAATGTAATATTAAAATTTTTTAGGCTTAAAGTGGAATAATATGCCTTTTTAAGGCTCTTAATGTGATTCCCCCTATTTTTTAATATTTTTTGCACCATTTTTTATCCTTGTCTTGGTGGTTTTTTTTTTTTTTTTGAGATTATGAACTGTCAATGCAATAAATGGATACTACTTTGCATTCTCCATCTTCACAAATTCCCCATTAATGTAATTTGGCTTTTTACTCCAAAAAAAAAAATTGACACAACCTGAATTTTATATTTATATTAATTTTTCATTTTTTTAAATCTATACTAAAAATTCAACAAAACTTAGGGTTTTTTTTCTGCCAAAGCAAAACTTGGTTATTCTACATCAAATAATGAACTATAATTATACACTCCCTCTGTTTAAAAATATGAGACATTTTTTGAGAAGTTAAATGTTTAAAAATATAATGCATTTTTAGTCTTTTGAGGTATAATCATTATCTTTTTTTTTTTCAAAAGTGCCCCTATTGATCACTTTATATTTATTATAGGGTGTTTAATAAAGGTAAATATAAAAAGATAGGATTACTTTAAAAGTAGGTAATCACTTTATTAGGAGGTGAGATTCATTTAAAAATGCCTTATATTTTTTAACAGAGGGACTACATAACTTACAAATAAAAACAATATAATTATATATAAATAATAATAAATGAAATTTTCTTGACATTGACTAATTAAATTATTTAAAAAATGTATACATTTAACATACTATATTTTAAGAAAAAATTAATATTACCTTAAATATATTTTAAAAATATTTTAATTTAGAAACTTTAGGTTATGTTTGGATGGGTGGATTTAAGTTGGGAATTTAAATTTGAGTCAAGTTATAAAAAAGATTGAATTAGGATTTAAGATAATAAGGGTTTAGAAAAGATTTTAAATTCTAAAGAGATTGATATAGAACTTAAATTTGAATTTAAATTTAAATTAAATCTAAATTTATATATTTTTAATTACTTAAATAATAAATTTGATTTAAATTTAAATTTATGTATATTCAAATACAGTAATAGTGTATATTTTATTTCTAAAATTTTAGATTTTTCAAACTACACAATTCATTCTCAAAAAGGATAAGAGCTCTCAATTTCTAAGTCCTTTCGCTAGTCAGGCGAAGTCCATAATTGCTGCTAAAGACTTGACTTGACTTTGGTCAACACGGTCATACGGACTCGGAGTTTCCCGAACTTCTATAAATTTGTGTCATCCACCTTCACTTCACCACAGTACTGAACCATCTAATCTCTCCTCTTTACAACGTACCTTAACTATTTAACTTCCAAGTTCCAACATAACAGTAAAACGCAAATGAAGGTAAGAAACCCTGGTCTTTCAAATTTCCAAGCTTGAATGAATATTTGATTCCCTTTACATCTGATAGCTGCTTGATGATTTATCTCCTTGCAGAAAATAGTGTTGAAGGTGGACTTTCACGATGAAAGAATCAAGCAAAAGGCCATGAAAACGACCTCAGGCATTTCAGGTATTCAATCAAACCAAACTCTCGTGAAGTTCAAATCAAGAAACAGAGCGAAACCCAGATCACTTAATAGCATCAAAAACTAACTAGATTAAGCAAATATGATCTTGTGTTTAATTAAGTCTTCTAAGTTAAAAAAAAACGCTGGAGGTGTTTTAAAACCCAACTTCACTCAAGTTTAGATTAGATAATTGTATGCCTCTCCGAAAACTATGGGGAAAAATTGACTGTTTTGGTTTTGTTTTACAGGGGTTGAGTCAGTGAATGTAGACATGAAGGACAAGAAATTAACTGTCATTGGAGACATCGACCCAGTTAATGTTGTGAGAAAGCTAAGGAAGTTGTGTCGTACAGAGATAGTGTCAGTGGGAGCAGCCAAAGAGTCTGAGAAGAAAACAGAAGAAAAGATAGAGAATATAGCTAAAGCCGCAATGGTGCCAGCCCCTCTGAGTTACAGCCATGTTTACTATCCACCACCCTATTCTGTTGGAACTGTGGAAGAGTATCCTAGTGGCTGTGTCATCTGCTAAATTAATGGAAATGTGGCGTAGTTTTTTATTTTTTTTCTTTTCCGTTCTCTCTCTCTCTCTGTGTTTTTTTTTTTTTTAAAATTTTGCCTCCTCATTGTTTTGGATTGAAAGTGGTGTGCTCGAAGGGGGTTTGTTGTACAAATGCAATCCAGAATTGTACTGAACACGCGTGTGGCAAAGAGCATGTTTCTCACAAGGATTAGACATCCAAAACTTTGGTTAACATTGACACCCTAAAAACTTGTATCGGTAACCATTGGCCGACACGTGTTAAGAGTGCTCCGAACCAAATTCGTCTTTAGAGTTCAAAATCTAGCATTGGCACAAACTAGGTCATTATGAATTTAAGTATCACAAGGGATCCTTTGTCTTTTGAGCTCTAAAACTTGAGCGCACCATGCTAGTACTCGCGTCTTTGAGCATCCAAAGGTTATTCTATAATTCTAAAATTTCTGTGGGAACACTTTGTCTCGCTGGTGAGTTTGAGACACATCACTCAAAGAACAATCTATGACATTTACTGAAACACTGGTGAGTAGGGCTTGACCAATGTAAGGAATAGATGTAGATTATGCATTGCACAAAGAAGTTTTCTAAATTTAAAATTCAACAATGTGTATGTCAGAGCCTAAGATTTATCTCTCAAAAGCTTTTGACTTTTCACCATGTATGCAATTGTCAGCTCTTTGAATTCAAGGTTTTTAACATTTGATTTAAGATAAATATAGATATTAAAGTCATAAAAGCTAATCCACTCTTGATATAGAACCTATGCTCTCTCTGATTGATTTTATCATAGATAATTTATAATTTGCACAAACAAATTTTATTTGAGTTTTGTTATTATCAAAACAAAATATTCAACATTTAACATAATATTTTTATTTAAATATTATCATAATTAATTATTTAAATTTTTTTAAACTGGGGGAAATAAATTATTAGATTATAAGTCTTTCAACATAATTACAAATAGAAATTAACATTCCTAATTGCATTAAAAATTAGATTAAAATATAAGTTTTAAAAAATACAAGAGATCTACTTCTTACTTTAAAAAATGTAAGATATTTTTAACCGAATCTTACCTCTCAATAAAGTAGTTACTTGTCTTTAAATTAACCATATCTTTTTATATTTACTCCTATTTAATAGGGTGTTTTATCTTAAAATAAATATAAAATAATTCATTCAATAAGAGTACTTTTAAACAAAAATTAATGATAACAATTTAAAAATTAAATTTAGTCTTACATTTTTTTATATAATTTTAACAAAATTGGAGGAACATTTGCTTTGTCCAGCGCTCATCTCTGTTCACCGCTCTCCTCTCTCCCAGCTTACCACCATCTGACTTGTCATTTTCTTTGCTATTTTTATTCAATCCTTCTCCATTGACTCCTCCTGTTCATTTTCAGGATTTCGTTCTACCTAGTCAGTTTCTTCATGGCTGTACTGAAGAATACCATCTTACTTGATCAAGAATGGTGCGAAAATCATTATTTGTTTGCTAAAGTTCATGATAATAGAAGATTTCATCCTTCAAAGTTTCAAGCTTACGTCTCACGGTTTTGGCAACTGAGAGATGATGTTCAAGTCATTCAGTCTCGCGAGAATCGTTTTCTTTTTTTCAGCAACACTTGTACTTGAATTTCATGCTAAATGGTGGGTCTTGGATTTTCAATGTTTATTTGGTCATTTTGAAGAAGTGGGAACCTTTTTTACGACTTCAGGATGTTTCTTTCAACATGGTTCCAATTCGGACTCATATATACGGTCTACCTATTCAATTCTACACTACTTCGTTTGCATCAATAATTGGAGAATCTATAGGTACCCTTTTGTCTTATGATGAATGTAGCTTCAACAACTCTTTTGGAATCAAGTTACGGGTTCTCCATGATATTTCCCAGCCTTTAAAACGACAAGGAGTCCTTGCTTTTGCTGACGGCCATGAATATGATGGCCTTTAGATTGATCATTAATAATTCTCTTATTCAATCCTTTGATCATAGTTACCCGGATTACCTGCAACAGCAGTCATTTTCTGGAAAGCACAAGGTGTCCTTCTTAAAATCTGATCACGTCAATATAATAACATCTGAAAATTCTATCAGCTCCACTAGTTGCCACGTATTTTCTCCAACAGAGGACTGTCACAATCTGCTTCCTCCCTCTCATCTCACATGGTTCAGACATCATCATGCAGGTTCTCCAACTTTTGTGCTGCCAAACAACTCGTCCTTTGCTGATCTTAGTTTTGTTAATTGCTGCTACTAAAGCTTCTGAGGCTCTGTTTTATTGTCATTGTTGAAAGCGGAAATACACTGTTTTGCAATTGTGAAACATAGTTGGGACTGAATTCTGGGTTTGACGAGGTTTTTGCCGAAAAACCTCGTCTTTAAGGATGATTCTGAGGGGGACCTTCATGGAATGCAGCATCGTGGAGGTCCAATGGCAGGTGCTGCAGCTTTTTGGAATATTTTTATCTACCTTGTTCTGTTTTTTGGGTCTTCGTTCTTGTTTCAGTTTTTTAGTCTCTTTGTTCAGTATCTGTTTGTTCGTTGTCTCTTGGTTCCTTACTTGTTTTTATTGCAGTGCATTCTTATAAGATTTCTCAAAAACCAAAGCTTTTATGGCTTTGGGTTTTCAAATTCAAATCCTACGGGATATTTGTTACTCTGTTGATTTCTAGGTTAATATGAAATCAGCCACAACTCTTTTCGCTATGCATTCGAAAAGTTGCAATGGACCAATCTTTGGATTGGTTACTTATTTAAAAACTGCGAGCTCTAACTCTTCATATCTGCATGCTCGTACATATTTTAAGAAGGATCAAGTGTTACTATTTGTCTCTCTTCTTTTCTGTGTCAGTCTGGTTCCATGTGGGTTTTCTTCCGTTTGTTATAATAGTGTTGCATTTAGACTCCGTTATTACATGGGCTTTTAGATTTTTTTGTACTAAAAGCTCTTTTGTTTGTCATCGTTTTACTATATTAATATAATTTGACTTATCATCAAAGAAGAAAAAAAAATAGGAGGAGTTATTGTATTTTACTGGTATAATTTTATAAAAGGAAATGGTTTCATGTCACCCAGTCGTTGCCGGCCGGTTGCCAAGTTAAATGACAAAAGAAATTTGACTGGAGGCATTAAATATTTATATTATTTAAACTATTAAAATTCATATCAGTTAAAATAAACTCACTTATTCATTTAACTTAAATAAAGTATGAATTTAAAATTATTAATATAAATTTTAATAATTTAGATAATACAAACACTAATGAATTAACTACAGTAATTGAATTTAAATCCGGTGCATCACAATATGGTGACATCACACTACATGCACGTTGGCATTGCACCTGGCGAGAAAGCTAATAAGTAATATTGTTTTTTTTTTTTTACCATCAAGTAATATCAGATAAAATGTATAAAATTTCTATATATGAAAAAGATATAATGCATACAAGATAAAAGAATGAAATGAATAATTAATTTATTAAATATTAGTAATAAAAAATGTTAAAAATTACACCCAGAATATTATCATATTTTTCATAATTTTTATTTCATAACAATCTCATTAAATATAAAATTATAAATTAAATCTCATATATGTGTGTTCCTATATATATATATATATATATATTAAAAAAATTAGATTGACGAATTAAAGAGAAAGGTTGTATTCTTTTTTTTGGCCAAAAGACAAAGGTTGTATTCGCGTCAAACCTTCAACTGATGGCTAGGGAATAGACACGGAGGAGAGTGTTGGGCCCACAATGACGTACTCGACCAATCTTGGCACGTGGCAGATTGTTAGGGCGTAGCCTCATCAAAGTTATAATATGAGAAACGACGAAGATCAAGCCCGGAAGGAAGAAGAAGCCTTCGTGGAAAGGTCACGTCTACCTTTTGATGTACATTTTTTAAAAAGCCAAAACCATTAATGTAAACAAAGCAAACAATAATTAATGAAAAAATAATAATTAAATCTCAAAAGATTAATTTTATTTAAAGTAAATCTCAAAATATTTTGAAATACCAGTTAAATCTCTAGGTCCTTAAGTGATATTTTAATATCATGGGAAATGACTGAAATACTATTTTTTGACTGGTGAAATTTTGAAGTTGCTCATTCTCTACTCTACCTTAGTGATTACTTGCAAACGAGCAGAGAAAAGTTGTCTGTCGTCTCTTCCTTGCCTCACCATTAGTGACACCAATGATCGTTCTCTTCTCTACCCTAAGCGATTACTTGCAATCAAGTAAAGGAAAGCTATTTGTCCCTTCCCTGCCTAAGTAGAGCTCAAGTTCATTATCTCTTTCACGTCTTGTGTTCGTTATCGCATCTTGTCAGGCTTTTTCATTCAAGGTTAAGTGTCTAGTTTTACCTCATCCGCATTGGAATTTTATGACTTGGATGCGATTCGATTGCTTGTTATCTCTCCCATTTCCGGATATTGATGTTCCTTTTTTACTTGTCCTCTCAATTGAATGTGGTTTGTGATCTAAATAGGTCTATGGATGATGATGAATTTTTATGTTTTGTTCGTGTCTTGGCGTGATTCTTGGTATTGTATAGAATTATGATTGCTTTTTTTTTTTCTTTTTTCTAGTTGAAAAGTTTTTTTTACAAGTGAGCTGTGCTTATTAGCCAATGGAAACCTTAGTCGGTGCATCCATTGCATGATTTTTAATCAATATCTTATGAAATTAGCACTTACTCTCGTGCGATGCACAGGAAGCATTAATATTGATTATAAAAGAATTTAATACAATTGCTATCAATTAAGTTACATATCTACGGTAACTAACGTACTAACACTTTATTCTATAAATTGAAGAAAATAGATCAGAATAAATTAATCATAATAAATAAAAAGATTCACCTTATGGATATCAGTGTATGACCAACATATAACATGAACAAACATGAAATGATAGCAATATTAAGGATTAGAAGGTTTTGCATAACAATAAGACACCTTAATCTACAATCACATCACAAAAGGCTATCTCCTTGATGGAAGTAAATCATTAAAAATCTCCCTATACATGACATTTGCAATTCTATTCTTTGGCAAATTGTGGTTGTCATGTATGAGAATCTTCAATCCCTCCATACTCCTAACTCTAGAAAGTGCAACATATAATTGACCGTGCGTGAAGACAGGTTTAGGCAAGTATAATCCAACATGTTGTAAAGATTGTCCTTGACTTTTATTTATTGTCATAGCAAAAGAAAGACTAATAGGGACTTGTCTTCTTTGCATTCGAAATGGCCATTTACTCTCATAAAGATTCATGTCCATCCTATGTATTAGCACTTTCTGAGAATCTTAATATGCTCGTATTTGATTGAATTACTGATTTCTATTCATCTCTTCCTTGCCCTATGCTTCTGCTCATTTTATTTCCAAATTGGTTGTGTGATATATACTCATTTATGTTTAGAGTAAATATTTTCTTGGTTTCTATCTTTTCTATATTGGAATTGAGCTTAGGGATATTTGATTTGGTTGGCGGGACTTTAGTTCTGTC